GTCAATTTTTTTAGTTAGACCGCTTTACAATCTGACGGCCGTCCAGCCCGTCCCATTGTCTCAAATTGACAGTGTACACAGGTTAAAGTAAGTTCCGTCTTATGTTGGAGGGCCATGTGCCATACCATAAGCCCTATCTTTCGGTACATCGCACAGTGGAACATCTGCTCGGCCAAAAGGGTGAGGCGATGCAATATCTTGCTGTTCGTAGTACTTTGGATGGATTTTTACATGAAAGCCCCAACAATTTATGTTATCAATGCTACATGTAAGAGATTCATTTACTTTACAATATGTGAATGAGGTAATTGATTTTGTGACAGCACTTTTGTACTTGTGGTTATTTAAACAAGAATGCATGACATATGTTTTCTTTTATTTGCTGATACACATTGATGTGATTTATTGAGAGGTACATATAATGTCATTTGGTTTGATATTAAAAATATGGCTTTTTTATATATGTTTTTGCAAATAGAATATTAGAAGATTCTGAGGTTGTAACTTCACGCTCTGTACAATTTGTGGTATAGACTGTGTTAACTATGTGCCAATCGAATATCAAAAAAAGAAAGGGGGATATAGACAAGGTACAGTGATAGACCTCTGTCGCACACACCGCAATCAGTGGCCTTATGAATGTGCATTCAATTCACCAAGTAAGACGCATTTTATTTACATGTAATGATCTTATCTCTCTGTGCAAAAGAATTAAATATGTTTTGATTTTGATATGTGATTGTCTATCTAGAGCCAGAAGGGCATTAACTCATACACTTTATAACGCAGAGTAAAGGCCTTTTTGGCTCTCAACAGGTTACAACAAGCCTAGCTTTTCTGAGATTCCCTTTTTTCCCCTCTCAGTTAAATCGAGCAATATCAAATAATTTTTCTTATTCTCAAACTTAAATGTACTCTGTAAACTTATTTGATTACGAACATACTTGTCAGTATTTCGTTACTTGTATAATTCATTTGTATTGTATTACTGTAAGGTTTATATACCGGTATGTCATTTAATTTGTGGATATTTGAGTGGAAAATAAATCAAATCAAATCAAATAATTCCTGTCCTTAATAACAACAACTTGAATTGCAGTGCAATGTTTTCTAGATATACATGTGTATATATTTATTGAATTTTCTTCGACAAATCATTGATTCCATGTTTTTTACATCTCGTTTTCTGTATGTTGATCTAGTGCAAGGATTTTGAATGTAAATAATTGAAATATTTATATCTTTATACTTCATTTTTGTGTACATTTGCTTTCAATATATTGTATTTTCATGAACAACGCAATCCGTCCACATGAAATATTTCTTCTACATTATTTTCTTTCTTGTCGAATCAAGAGTATTTTGCTAATTGTCTGTCCAATAAAGAAAAATATATTCATTATAATTTATTGCTTTGTTTTTTGTTGCCCTTATTTAATTGTCATCTATACTTTTGTTGATTAATAAACTATTTATTTGTAATCTCATGTATCGTCTGTTTGGAGCCAATTCATGTCAACATTAAAAGAAAAAATTCTCTCCCATTTCAATGTGGTTTATTAAAAATACAAATTAGTAGACCAGGGACTAATTGCACAATGTTTACAACTTAAAAATGGACATAAAATGAGATAATCAATTAAAACAAAATAAAGTGTATATAATCATTAGAACTCGAAATAACTGTGCAGAGTAAGTGTCACTCTGGCTTTGCACAGATGTTTATGTCTTTTTTTTAAACTTTTGCCTGGAAAGCAAACGAAGGAAAGGAAAGAACGGGAACTATATTCCAAAATGCCATGTTTATATTTGTCAAATGTGAGAGGGAGTGAAATCAGTTGACAATGTTCGATAATAAAATACTGTTTCAAATTTATGTCATAATGATCAAACTTTATTGAATCAAAATTGAGTTCATCTGTTCAGACTACTAAACCAACTCCAGTGTGACCGGTATTTGACAACATCTGTTTGCCATTCAGTTCATGTATGTTACTGCTTGTCTGTCTGCTATCTGTCTAGCTGTTGGTCTTGTAGACCTGACAGGTTTTTAAAGCCCGTCTGTACTAGTTTGGCCAGAGGGGATTAGACCTCCCTGCAAGGTCACTGACAGGTGGTTATCTCATCAAATCGGCTCTCAATTAACATAAGAAAAGGGGATCATGGGAGACCAACAGGCACTGATTAGGCATTGTTTGCTATATAGAGGGAGCAAGTAGCTATAAGTAGTGCAGTGGGGCTTTAATGAACAAGTGAATCGGAAGCATAATTATGCAGTCTTGGAGGGAAGTCAAAAAATTGTTATTGCAATAGCGCCAGCTAAGTTCACTTTCGTGCAGTGTATTTAGAGTTTAGTGAGCTGTAAAAGAGATTTGGCATTAATAAGTTTATTTGAGAGAAGGGGGGGGGGAGAGTGAGAGTGAGATACACAAACATAAAAGACACAGAAATGCACAACAAAAATAGACAATCCCGTATTAGAAATTAATATAAGAAAAAAGAGAACAATTTAAGATTCAAGACTTTAACAAAACGTCTTCGTAGCCGGCTGGCTGAATATAACTGTGACAATGTTTTACAGATAATAAACAAATATTACAATATACAAATGAAAAGATATTTTTCTTCAAACTCTTTACTGGTGTGAACAAAGATATGTTTTTACTCAATAAATAGAACGGATGGTTCATTTCCGATGGATTAGTAATAGTTTCCCCTTATGATCAGTATTTGGAAAAGTCCTTCCGGTGAATTTCCAACACTCATGCGATGTTTCGTGAAAGTTCTTGAAACTTGTTACAGCATAATCGTCAAGTTTTGGTCTACTTATAGACCTTGTTTCCCACTCATTATAACGGAAGTCTAAACAACCACCACTATTCAAAATATAATTCATGCAACATTTAGAAAGAATACCCCTCCCCCTCTACCGCTCCCCCTGCCCCTGAAAGAAAAGTAAAAAATAAATCGTCCTTTCTTTCATGAAATGCAACAGGACAGTCAGCTTGTTTCCGCAGATTAACTTCCAATAAGTCACTAACTACTAATCCCCTAATTAGACCACCAATGACTAATCAAAAGAAGATTGAAAATAAGGAATGTGGAACGGAAAAAGCCCACCCTTGAAGTCCTGAAGATCCTATAAATCCTATTCGATAGTTTCGAAGCGATTTCGCTGATGATTAAAAGAGAAAGCGAGAGCAGCTGAGGTTATTTTAATTATTTCGCGCTACACGATTAACTACAAAGGACGCCTCGTATAGAAAGTTGAGCCTAGCCCAAGTTGGTCTTTGTAGCGTGATGGGTCCAGGACTGAACATTTGGACCTGGCCTTTGTTAGGGCTTGTAACATGGCTCCGTTACTCGTGCAACCCCAATCCGAAGAATAATGGAAGTTTTAAGTTCCATTCCAACCTAACTAGCGTATAATTAGCGCTTCCAAAAGCCCCTGATTAAGCCATTAAATGCGGTACGATTGAGAGACGAAAGTAGTGATAAAAAGAACAAAAAAGGGGGCACGATAGAGCTAATGGGTCATGTCTCGGGGTTTGTATTGTCCCCCTTCCTCTCTGGAGGCAGTAACTGTTGACAATGCTTACCCCATTCCAAAGCCCTGCAATGACGTATTGGATAAGTCTATCATGTTTAAGAAAGGAAATTAAATTCAAAAGAATCGAAGAAATTGGAGGGTGATGGGGCGAAGGAAAGAAAGTCATTACAATATTCCAATTTAGATGTAACGAAACACGCCCCGACACGAAAACGGACGGAAGGAGCATTATTGTACAATTGTTGTCTCGAAATTGAAGAAATTACCTTTTATTGCGCAATAACTTTTATTGACAATGTTATTTGAATAATCGTGTCTCCGTTTAGAAGATCGGTAATAATTGAAATTACAATTACCATGATGATGATTGTCAAGTCGAGTGGAAGATGAACAACTTCACCCGTTCAAAGCATTTTCCAGAAGTTTTTCCATTTTAAACACCAATAAAAACAGTTATAACCGTTAATACAAGTTTAGTTCTTTAGTACATAATAATTTTAATTATATTTTCGTTCCATTTTGACAAAATAGCACATTCTTTTAAAGAACTGTTCGAGTGCATAAAAGAACAGAAAATAACATATAAGAAAATACCTTTATTGTTTAGTATTTAACCAAAAAATCTTTTGCTAAATACAATTTGTAAATCTCAATATGTGAAGAGATCTGGTATTTTAAATCACTTACTTAATGACACTTTACAATTACTTCAAGACTTTAGTTATTGATCTGATTAAATTTAAACCAATCATAACCGAAGATAGAATAAGAACACTGAAATGCTGATGACATGTCTAGTTTTAAAGCACTGAAGTCTCCATGACAATTAAAAAAAAACGAGCCTTTAAATTATCTGTCCTTTTCTACCCCTTTCTTTCTTTCTTTCTAAAGTCTTCTCCTTGTTTCTCTTTATCTAATTTTGTAAATGAATGATCATCATTAAGAGTCATTGTGGTATCGCCTGAGAACGATAAAGCCCGCGAGAAAGTAGGAAATAGTAATTAAGGAACTGAACGAACCCGGATCGAAGAACGAGAAGCTTTAATATCGATTTCAGAAAACGAAGCATGTCTTCGACAAGTAGCTCATGGCATGCAGTATAACGGGTTGATTTTTATTATCTATCAATCAATAATGGATTAGACGAGTTCATTATTTGAAGGGTTCTTTCAAAACTTTACAAAGTTGATGAACAAACTTAGAAGAATCAAAATGGTCATTGAAACAATGCATATGTTAAAGAAGTTGAATAGAAACAAAACTTCATCATTGAGATTTGAACAAAAGCAGTGTTTTCCGAGAAAGATTTACATCATTATTACATTTAGTCGAGACTGCGAACAGTATCCCCCTACTTTTCAAGTGGTATAATCTTTATTGAGTGGTTTCATCGCGGATCGCGACTCAATGGACCGTGAATTCTTCTAACAACAAAAGCTGCCGACGACCAGCGGCGTGCAATGTAGGATATCAAGCAGATGCTTTCAAAGACCCGACGAACGCAACGCATCGATCTCTACTCTATTCCGGTCTAAAGTTTGTTGAAGCGATCAGCCAAACTGGAACTTTTACTTTTTATCAGTCAACTTGAGCTCTTGAAATGTTATCCTTTGTGTCATTCATGAAATGATGTCGTCTTATCAGACCAGCTATAAATCATCGTGAAGTTTTCCGAGAGGTTTTGAAGCCCACACGAACTTTCCTGTAGTAATTCTGTCATCGGTCTTGGAAGTGGATTGCCTGAAAATGGATCGCTTGGGACTCATAATCGTAACAATTTTAACTCTTATTTCCACAAGACTGAATATTGGGAGAGCAAATACCTTGACAACATGCACTAATGTATATTCAGAACTCAGTCGACTTCAGTTTAGATATTACACGGAAATACCTCAAAACCCTGTAAATGGTAAGTAACTTCTACTTTTAATTTCGTCTAGTTTCAGTCCACTCCGGTAGCGGCAGGCAATCGGCCTCGCCGCGACCCCGCATACATCGGCTTTCAAAACACCAAGGCGCCCGTGTAAAGAGCCTCTGAATGAAAGTTGACACAAGAACAAGCGTGAAAGCGATCGGGCAGCCGTGGGGGTTTCGCTTCTCTCCGCCCGCCTCGTCACTCGCCGCCGTCCGGCCCCTCTTGGTCTGATTTTACCATTACTTCAAGCCAACCCCTGACGTTAGATTACATGCGATGATAGCTTTTTGAGGGTTGTTGTAAAGGTGTAGAATGACATGCATTTGTAGTGGTATTTTCACATTATAAACCCCGCTTTCTTCCATGATCAAGTGAACACAACTTCTGCCACCCAGATTTTCAGCTTTGACTTTTTCTCCTCTTTTAGTTGAGGAATTCAAGTATTTAACATTTTACAATTATGAAGACATCTGTTTTTATTTTATCTCAGGGCAAAATTGATACTTGTGTTTAGATGTACTTTTTTTGGAAAGGTATTTTGAAACTTAGCTTGCTAACAAGAGAGAGAGAGAGAGTTATAGAAAGTAGGCCTATTGTTTGATGAGTTCATAACTTTTTATTTAATGATAGACGCTGTAAATGGAAAACAAAAGATGGAATTCAATTCAAAGTAGGAGTAGGCTTAATACAAGTAAATATTGAAGAAAACTTGGAGAATATTTTTGGACTAATGGAGCCGGAAGGAGAATGTGAGAATGTGTGAGATAAGGAAAATTAAAGTAGGTAGCTAGCCTGCCCATTCAATAAGAGATGCAACAAGGGGATATACCTCAACATATTTTGTGCATTCAGTAATTCTGACATTTGGTTATCAGATGTATTTCTGTGAAAGTACCTGTATTGAGCCACAGACTCTGTCCTGAAGAAGAAAACAAGGAAAACATAATCGAGTAAATTCTCACCAGCCCAACAATGTATGGTTTCAATTATAAGATTTTCATATGTGGTTTACCGTTTTGCCATGGATAAAGAGGGTGGGAGATGGGGCGACAGAGAGAAAGAGGGAGAAAGAGATAGAGAGAAGGAGGGAGGGAGAGAGGGGAGGGGTGTGGCGGCAGAGAGATAGAGAGAAGGAGGGAGTTTAGGAGACAGAGAGAATGAGGGAGGGAGAGAGGGTTGGAAGGGAGGGGAAGGGAGGGGTGGGGCGACAGAGAGAAAGAGGGAAGAAGAGATAGAGAGAAGGAGGGAGGGAGAGAGAGGGGAGTTTAGGAGACAGAGAGAATGAGGGAGGGAGAGAGGGTTGGAAGGGAGGGGAAGGGAGGGGTGGGGCAACAGAGAGAAAGAGGGAAGAAGAGATAGAGAGAAGGAGGGAGGGAGAGAGAGGGGAGTTTAGGAGACAGAGAGAATGAGGGAGGGAGAGAGGGTTGGAAGGGAGGGGTGGGGCGACAGAGAATCTGAGGGAGGAAGAGATAGAGAGAAGGAGGGAGGGAGAGAGAGGGGAGTTTAGGAGACAGAGGGAATGGGAGAGAGGGTTGGAAGGGAGGGGTGGGGCGACAGAGAGAAAGAGGGAGGAAGAGATAGAGAGAAGGAGGGAGGGAGGGGGGCTGGAGAGGGATTTGCTTAGAGAAGAGGGAAGATATGGGACAGAGTCTGAAAAAAACTCATAATACCCCAAATCTTGTTTGAATGGAAATTTCCTGAAACGTTTATTGGTGATCCACATGATTTTTTTCCTGATGATCTCTTAATAGTAGGATGAACTTCTTTTCCTGTTGACACTTACATTAAAGGTAAACCACATTGTTGGATAAACTTTTAGAATTTCCTCTTTGTTGTTATGTTAATCAACTGAGGGTACTTAATAATGTAATCATTATGTAGTTTGTCCTGAAAATCACTTTTGTATTTCAAACTTTGTTCAACCCATGTTCAATCATGATTAATTACAAAATATTGCATTTGTCTACATTGTTGAAGTCCAATACAAACTCTATGTCTATAAGTATGAAAATGAGTTTATTAACCCATAATGACAGAGGTGCATAAAATGTAGGCTACCTGTAGAATGTTTACCAAATTTCTTTGAAACTTAATCTATCTGGCCAAAACTTCACATTTTTCTGTAAGAGTGATCAAAAAATATATTCCCATCTTCAATTCTGGACTTGGATTTTACTTCTGTAAGACTAGAGAATCTTCTAGTTTTATCATACTTTCTCTATAAGAGTGATAGAGGCCATCCATACTATTTTAATAGTATAACCAGGGTTAGCTCTCTGATCTCATTCATTTTTATAACTTCATAAAGTTACAGAATTCTAGGTCATCTATAGTTCTGTATAGAACCTGTATTGTCTCTAATCCAAATTCAAACCCTTTAAAATCTTTTGTCTCGCACTAAACATAAACTGCTGAAGGGTCGACACAACTTTCATACTGGCCCACATCTGTTTGAAATCAAGTGGGAATGTCTAGCCCTTGGTTGTGTTGCGACCAGACCGGTTTTCCTCTCTCACTTTTGTTCCGCCCCCATCTGGAAGTTTGTATTTTTAGTTCATTAACTGCAGTTTCCTACGTTTCTGCCCACAGACTTTGTTTTATGTTTAAAATAATCATTTTTTAAAAAGCAGACGTTGATACAATGGAAGTGTGGTTGATTTCACATGACGTTGTGTTTCAATTTCCTTGAAAAAGCTGTCTGCATGCAGCAGATACCAGCAGTTTGAAACAATTTTGAGTAAAACATGTTATTCTTATTACTCATACCTTCATGATACAATGTAATTGTACTTTTATGCATCCCATCAAGAAATGATTTTTCTTTGTAGCTGCAGCACATGTAAGAAAGAGCATAGGAAAATGTTGCCTATTGGAGCCAATGTGTGCAGCAGATACCCCTAATTTCAAATAATTTTGGAATTGTTTAAGCTACATTGTAGTTAATATTATACTACTCATATATGCAAGACGAGGCATGGACAATGTACTTGTCACTCATAAGTTTGTTGTATTTTTTTGATGCATTTCAAATGAAAAGAGATGACTTTTCGAGATGCTACACATAAAAAGTGCAACATCATTCTGGGTACCAGTAAACTTGTTAAACTGAAAGCCTGTCAAACTTCATGTGAGATAGTTTTACAAAAGAGACTTGTGAACATACAATCCATGGAACATTCTTTGATCTAACAATCAAATTGAAAAGAGAAAAATCCTGTCATTCTTGTGCTGCCACTACCCAAAATCCAAGACCAAAAATTTCCCAGCATTTGCTTGCACGCTCCCAAGGTGTAGATCTTTGTGACCGACTTTTTATAGATCTGTCAGCGACTCCTGTGACAGAAATAACTTTAAATGCATTAATTTGTGAACAAATTGACAAATGTATTCTTGTCAACGTCAATTCAAGTTAGCGGGACTGTTGTGAGAAATATTGAATAGGTAGGATCTTTGCTCAACACACTTCGTGATAACAATGCAATGATGGATGCGAGCCATCAGAATTCGGCATTGACAAGCAGGTGAGAAGTCCGCCACAAAAGGGGCCCCAAAAAATGAAAAATAAGTTTGTTTGAATTCGCTAGAACCTGCCTCAAGGTGAACTCAGCTTAGAATTTATGGTGTCAGGAGCTTATTCACATCGATGAAATTTTGGCTTTGCGTTTTTATGAAGAAAATAGAGAAATTGTACAAAAAATAACAGGACTTTTAGCAGAAAGATTTATAATTTATTACTCATTCATCACTCATTCGCAATAACTTTTCTTTCAAATCAAATTTGTCTTTTTTGGTCAGATCTTTATCTTTGATTTAATACAATTGCTGTTTCTTTAGGATGATACCAAATAGAATTATTTTTTGGTTTGATGGGAACAAATTTATATAACTTTGGTAAATTCAAAAGCACAATTTATAATATTTGTCAGGGGTATTCAATTTGTCTTTGAAAAGCCTTTACAACCTGATCTTTGTACATATATGAAGTTAACTATACAAAAAAGTATCAAAAATATTAATCCCTAGATTTATGAGATTCTTCGGAGTTTTTGACACATTCCCGATGACAAATTCCATCATCCTACTTTTCCCCTGTTCTCTATTCCTTCTAATTCTCTTTTGAAATATGTTTCTTTGCTTTTACAGTTTGTATCCCTTCCATCTTTCTTCTCATAGTTCCACCTCTTTATCTTACAGCCTCCCTCTCTCTGTTTCTTTCTGTTTCTCTCTCTCTCTCTCTTTCACTGTTTTTCTCTCTCTCATTCACTCTGTTTCTCCCTCTCTCTCTCTTTCACTGTTTTTCTCTCTCTCATTCACTCTGTTTCTCCCTCTCTCTCTCTTTCACTGTTTTTCTCTCTCTCATTCACTCTGTTTCTCCCTCTCTCTCTCTTTCACTGTTTTTCTCTCTCCCATTCACTCTGTTTCTCCCTCTCTCTCTCTTTCACTGTTTTTCTCTCTCTCATTCACTCTGTTTCTCCCTCTCTCTCTCTTTCACTGTTTTTCTCTCTCTCATTCACTCTGTTTCTCCCTCTCTCTCTCTCTTTCACTCTGTTTTTCCTCTCTCATTCACTCTGTTTCTCCCTCTCTCTCTCTTTCACTCTGTATCTCTCGTCTCTCTCTCTCTCTCTCTCTCTCTCTCTCTCTCTCTCTCTCTCTCTCTCACTCTGTATCTCTTCTCTCTCTCTCTCTTTATTTCTCTCTCTCTCTCTCCCTCTTTCTAACTCTTTCTCTCTCTCTCTACACTCATCTCCCTCTCTTTACTTTGATACTTCTTCCCCTTGGTACCTTCTCTATTTCTCCCCATGTCTCTCTCTCTCTCTCTCTCTTTCTCACCCTCTTTTCTTCAATGACACACTGAAGATGTTCTGTTTGATTTTCTGGTGTCTAAATACTTCCCTTGCAAACACATTATCACATGACTGTCAATATAAGAAAAGGTAATGAAGTTTGCATTCATACCCATTTCAGTATTACCCCCCTCTCTCTCCAGTCTCTAT